AATTACTTGGTATGAAATTTACGAAAATATACGTATTTTAAGGTTTGCATCAAACTTTTAAAAATACAATTGTTTAAGCAAAGAAAACACCTAAAAAATACATAAAAATACGTAAAATAAAAACCTAAAAACTCTGAAACATTTCTTGGTATGAAATTTACAAAAATATATGTATTTTTAGGTTTGCATCAAACTTTTAAATTCTAAAAAAATACAATTTTTAAGTAAAGAAAAAACCTAAAAAATACATAAAAATACGTAAAATAAAAACCTAAAAACTCTGAAACATATTTCTTGGTATGAAATTTACAAAAATATATGTATTTTTAGGTTTGCATCAAACTTTCAAACTAAAAAAAAATACAACCTTTTAAGTAAAGAAAAACCCTAAAAAATACGTAAAAATACGTAAAATAGAAACCTAAAAACTTTGAAAAATTTCTTGGTATGAAAACAAAAATATACAGGGGCGTGTAAAATAAAAACCTAAAAACTTTGCAACATTTCTTGGTATGAAATTTAAGAAATTATACATATTTTTAGGTTTGCATCAAACTTTTCTACTCTAAAAAATACAATTTTTTAAGTAAAGAAAAAACCTAAAAAATACGTAAAATTACGTAAAATAAATACCTAAAAATTTAGAAAAATTACTTGGTAAAAGGTATACGTAATTTTTCGTTTAAATACGTTTCTGGAAAACCAAAGCATTTAAAAAATTGCTTGTTATGATAAATACTTAAAAATATGTAAATATACGTAAGTTCTTTACTGAAAAGTAGAGCATACATATTTATACGTAAAAATACCTATTAATATGTATACCTGTGAACCATACCCCTAAAATTACCCTGTTGTAAGGTCGTCTCTGACAAACTGTACCTCCGTTGGACCCTCCGTCCACTTACCAAACCAAACATTTCCAAGGCTTTCGCGTAAATATGAACAAAAACCTCATGGAACTTAAAGTTCTTTTAGAACCAATTTAAACATAATTTTCAGTGAATCATTTACAAATAAACAGTGAAATTACTTTACACAGATAAATATTTATTTCAGAAGAATTAAATTGCTTTAGACTTCAGTTCAAACAACCTTTCGCCGTGCCACAGTTTTCTAGATTGTAAGTTCCGTATACTTAATTCACAAAAATATCCTTTAAACCTTTATTTGCAGATTCACAACAATATCTTAAACCTTTTATTTGCCAATTCACAACAGTACCTTTTAAACCTTTATTTATTGATTCACAACAGTTATAAAATATGATCCACTAAATCTGCAAAACCTAGAATTAAGCCTTTATTCAATTCTAAATGTTACATGTTTCTAAACCAATTGTTCGATTCACATCAACGCCCATTTATTGTTAGTTACCCTTAACTGTTTAATCTTTATTAACAATCATTTATACACATGTACGTCAATAACAATTTGTATTTTGTTGTAGGAAACCTTCGTTACTGAAATATACATTTTCAAGAAGTTGTTCTCATCTATGTATGGCCGGTAGAAAAGAGTGTTTCCCTACTCCCAATTTGCCTTATTTCCCTCTTTCGAGTATTATTCCTTTTGTTCGGCTCACAATACCATATAAAGACTTTGGTATTTTTAGGTTTTCGGTTTAGTGAGTAGTTGAAATGAACAAAACAATAGTTCAAATGGACATAAAAAGAGTTCAAATGGACATAACAGATAAGGTTGGGTTTAAACCCTGTAATAAATCTCGCTGCCCGGCCCTGTATGTGAACAGATGGGAAAGAATTCTGTTGAAGAGGTGATAATCTCGGCTACTGCAGAGAAAAGATGAGGATTAAGGATAAGCTGACCTGCTCCTCCTCAAATATTATATACATGATTACATGTAGGAGAGGAGGCCGAGTTTGTCCTTCCCATCCTCAATATATAGGAGAGACAGGGAAGGAGGCTAAAGAAAGGCTGAGGGGTCACAGAGGCACCATTACNTTTCAATATTGCCCGAGATATGAAGAATTTCGTTCAGATTTCGACAATTTTGCTTTTATTTAACAAAATTGAAATCTGAACCAAACTCTTTATATCTCCGGTAATATTGAAAGCACAAAAAACGCAGACCACTATTTGGAAATGCCAGGGCTAGGAGAATTATGTGAGAATTGTTTCAAGAATCATACATGTTAAAGTAGATAGAAGACTAATAGAAGACTTTTAAGTCGTCTTGCTTTTGTCATGTTTCGTGGGACACCCTGTATATTAATTTTTCCATAGGTTGATTAGAGGAGGGGGCCTCGGGGCTCGGGGGCCTGTGAATGAGGAGAAGGATTTGGTAGAATCATGCCGGGTGTGAATCACATTTTCGATCTCGTTTGAACTATTTATATGCTTTTCAACTAATTTATTTGAAATTTTTTGTTTATTTAAACTATTTTTATGTTTTTCCACAATGTCCTGTAATGCAGAACTTTTTGTTTTGTTATAATGTACTTCATTTAAATTTTTTTTTATTTCAACCATCTTTTTTTTAATTTAGACAATTTTTTTGTATTTTTTTCGTTTTAACTATTTTTTTCTCATTTGGACTATTTTTTTTCATTTAGTCTATTTCATTTGAACTAATTTTTTTGTTCATTTGAACTATTTTTTGAAATCGTTCAGTTCCGTTCTAAAACAAAGGCCTTCGGTTAAATCATTCTGCTCTTGTTCCTTTTTATCGTTCCGCTCTCGTTCCTTACCGTTCTTTAAACAAGAACGCCAAGAACGGAACGGAAAAGGAAGACCATTCTTCTACTCAGAACAGAACGGAACAGAACAAGAACAGAATGATAAAAAAGGAACCAGAACAGAATTATTTAGCCAAAGGCCCTCGTTCTAGAACGGAACTGAACGATTTCAAAAAAGTCAGAACGTGCCATACCCTACCAAGAGGACATATTCGATATTTGTTAATGAGATCATAAATTAGAGTTTGTGTTTAGTTTTCGATATTTATTAAAAATTGTACTGCACAAGTGAATACATGCTGAATAACGATTTTTGATTATATGATTTTAGAATTTTTTTGAACATTTTTGTATTTTTTTAGAATTTATATGAATACATGTTAAAAAAAAAATTTTTAAGTTTCTAATTTTAGAATTTTTGTGACATTTGAAAAATATTTTAGTATACTAGCAAACAAAAAAACTCGAGTTAAGATAGAGTAAAACTCGACTTTTGCCTTCCAGAAGTGGAGTTTTAATTGAGTTTAAAAGTGGAGTTTCACCTGCAATAGTTTTGCCATATCTGGAGGAAAACTCGACTTTTCCTCAAGTTGGGGGGTTGTAAAAATATAGTCCGGGTGATATTTGGACGATATGTGGGTGATATATGGATGATATTTGGATGATATGTGGGTAATATTTGGATGATATGTGAAATATATGGATGATATGTGGGTGATATATGGATGATATCTAGATGATATCACCTACACCTTAACAATTGCATATTCAATATATGTTATATTGTATAAACTTACCGTTTTAACTATTACAAGACTGTCTAAGTGGAACTTCTATTTATCAAAAATTAAGAATTTACTGACATTGATTCTAATGAAAACATCAATTTACTCCAAAATGATAGAAATTTTGAAACATTGTATTTACCAAAATAGTAGCATAAAATTTCTTACATATATTAATTCTTTTGAAACATCATCAAATATTATTAAATTCTCACTTAAAAATGCATTTTTGTGCATTTGAGGTTTCATGAATATATTGACACAGAAACTGGAATTCAAAAAGTCGAGTTTATGTCAAGTTTATTCACCCAGATTTCATAGAGATGGTGACTGGAGTTTAAAAGTGGAGTTAAAGTGAAGCTTTGAAATCCTAGTTTTCACCCTGACTTGGTAAAACTGAGATTCAAAAATTCGAGTTTTTTCACCTAGCTTGTGACTTGGTAAAAATTGGAATTTACCCAGTTGGTGACTGGAGTTCAAAGTCGAGTTAAAGTGGAGTTTTGAAGCTGAGTTTTGAATTAAAGTTTTCACCCTGACTTGGTAAAAACTGGGATTCAAAAAGTCGAGTTTAAGTAGAGTTTTTTCACCCAGATTTCATCCAGTTGGAGACTGGAATTCAAAAGTGGAGTTAAAGTCGAGTTTGAGTGGAGTTTTGGACAACTAGTTATCTAGATTCATCATCCAGTTGTGTTTCCTGGGTAATATTACAGGATTAATGTACAATATGCAATATGTACAGTCTGCAATGATAATTTATCACGGAGAGCACCCAAAGCCATGAGCAATGAATTCATTATCATTCTAGTTAAATTGATTTTATCATTGAAGCCTGACAAACCACATTTGCTCTGTTTGACTGTGTACAGACTGTTTTGAACTTTTCTATGAAATAACTAATTTCTTCACAATTTCAGGGGATTGTACAGTTTTCAGATAGTTGATGTGGTTCAGATTTCGTACTTTAGCACTTGTCGAGATTCCCTTGGCAGTTGTCTTGTCAGACTTGTTTTGTTTTTATATTCAAAATAGAATTACATCTTATCTTTAAGAAACACACCTTCGCTAATTGGAGATCCAGCTCTTTCATCTTTAAACTTTCCTAGGATTATATCATATGATTGACTGTAGAATACTGAATGAGATGGAGGATAGTTTGTTGTCAACATGATGAAATAGTTTTTATTGTATGCTTTGTGTAAACATTTCACACAAAAAACAAGTTATGATCAATTGAATGAATTAATATTAAAAATTTGTGGATTAAACAATTCTTTAAACTATTGTGGATTTTATTGTAAATAAATATGTTTGATTTTGGTTGGTTAAGCGGTAAAAGGTAATTACCAAAAATAAAAACGGCAAGCAGAGACACATAAAATGTATTTTCATGTCCCTAAATGTACTTTAAACCCTAATCCAGTTTACTATTTATGATCATAAATGGATTTATATGGACCCCTGAAATTTTGTTGAAAATATAATTCCAAAACTAAAAGACTATGAAGTAAATGGCAAATAAACTGTAAAATAAATATTTATTTAATAATTAGCCAAATATTTCATAAAATCATATTTTATTGATCTGCGCAGAATACACCATCAGCTAGCTGGGTCATTATCCAGTCCCAGTAAAAACTCAATCTAAGATATAGATCAATTAATTAATTAATCAATCAATCAATTCGATAAATCAATCAATAAATCAATCAGAGTTTTAGTGATGTTCTGCTATCCATGTCAATCTCAAGATGAACTTATTAAATTAATGAGATATGGTCTTACAGCTTGAATTTAGGGTTTAAAAAAGAAAAAAAAAATATTTTGGATATATATCAACTTTAGAATAAAGGGACTGAAGCTTATTTTAAATATAGAAATGGTGGAATTAATTTTTCCTAATTCTTTAATAAAAAATAAATCTGTATATATTCTTTTCTTGTCTGGCTGTTAGTTTGTGTCCAATAAACGTATAAAGGATTGAACTGATCAGTCCCGACTTTTTTTGTGAAAATCCACAGGACCCCCAGCTGAAAGGTTTATGTCACTTTTGTAGAGAAACCACATTTGAAATCAGTTTTTAAAATTAATATCCAATTTATATTTGACCAGACAACGTTTTTGTTGTGAATCGGGCATTGTCAGCTTTGCATGGAGAATCCTACTTTAAATGACGCTTACTGTTCCTTTAATAAATTAAACTATAGTGTTTGTACTAGAGACAGAGTACAGAGATCTTTTACAGCAGGTTTCTATTGTGTACAACTAGAGTACACGACCAATAATCAGACGTCTGTATTCAGGGATATTCAAGGATCCTTTAGATACAAAATGCAAAATCAATTTTATGTTATGTTAAAAGTTGGAGTATTTCTTTAAAAATTAAAAACGTACCCCTGAATGGGTATTAGATGGCAGTCAACACCTTTCGTGGAAATGTAGCATGTCATGTCGGTACAACTATAGGCCTGCTTAGCCTAGCCCGTGAGCAGTCATTGTATATTTAGTCTATGGTTTGTACCTAGAGAATACTCCTGGAAATTCCTGTTGTGCACACCCTAGTCCCCAGGATACCAGGCCTACTTGATAGTATCTACCACTAGAACAAGGATTTATCAGTCACTGTTCTAAAAATACTTATTTATCATAGCACTGCAGTCAGATGAGAGCGTGCTATGCAGTATGCAGTGCATCTTTATAGGAGCTGCTTAGCTCCGTTGAGAAGGTCTAGCACTGCATAGCATGTATGCAAATGCACACTCTCATTTGACTGGTAATACGATAAGTGAGTATATATATAATTAATTAATTTAATTTCCTATAATCACTTATTAATAACCCCCTCTAAATACTAAATTGAGATGTTAGCTTAAAGGGATGGGAACCGGTTTCGCCCATTAATTTCATTGTGAGTTTGATTCCGGGATTCAGGTTAGAGAAAATAAAAATTGATTATTTAAAATAAGTAGTTTTACTCATTTAGTCTTCAGTTTCTTAAATGTTTTCATTAGATTTCCTAGGATTTCGATCATTGCAAACACAGCAATTGAAGAAATTAAAAAAAATCTGCGAACACATTTATAAAGATTTAAAAATTCAAGATAATGATGATAAAAAATAATTGATTCTGCCATTGATTTGATCGAAAATATCCTAATAATTGAATAATTAGTGAATATAAATCTTTGATAAAAATATTTTCAGGAGTCTGGTCCTCCTCCCAATGATTCGTCAGAGACCTCTAATATTTTACTTTATGTAATGGCATAGAAAAAAAACATGGTAGAAATATTTCTGTGATTTAATTTGATTTTTAAGGAAAAACATGAAACACTGATTTCCTAAGAATGAAAAGTTAAAAACATTCTTTTAATTGGGTCCAATTTTTCTCCTTTGAAAGTTCCTGTGCGTGCACCATAGTGTTTACTGTCTACCACAATTGAGAAAAAAGTTTTTTTTTTCGAAATAAAGTTTACTTACTTTCGCAAATCCTTTGTAAACAATGGACCCCCACTATCTCCTATAAAATATACATAAGGTTTTTAAAGAAGTAAACTCTTGCTTGAAACTTGTTTTTCTTTTAAAATTATTTATTCTAAACTTTTATCTAACTACTTACGAGTTTTTAGGGTTGAAAAAACTCTGTTATGGATTTTTAATAGAATATATTTTCAAAATTCAAAATATACATTCAAAGTTGAAGGCCACAGTTACATTTAAAGACTGAAACAAACTCTTTGGAAGTGTTTAAAAGGACTGTAAGTGTAATTTCAAGTGACCTTTCATTCAAAGATGGCAATATCCGATTCACAACGATACATTTGAAAGCTTTGTCTGATCATGTATGAATTAGATATCTTATAATGATTTTGAAAACTCAGTATTTTCAATTGCAGGCTTCTCATTTTTTACTGCGGGCAAACACCTGAGAAATAATTATCAGAATTAAAACACTTTAAATCTAGAAAAACGACAATATCTTCCCAAGGACTAAGGAGTATGAAATAGAAGGGAGATACAACTGACGCGGCCCGCCCTACCATATGATTATACATGCTTTTCAGACGGAACTACATTTGTATAAGAAATATTTGTCTGGTGTACAAATGCCGCGTATTCTGAATATTTCTTATTTAAATGAAGTACCGTCTGCAAAGCATGCATAATCATATGGAAGAGCGGGGCGCGTCAGTTGTATCTCCCTTCTATTTCATACTCCTTGTATCTTCCCCATTATTTATCAGATAAAGGTTTCAAGGGTACCGTTGTGAATAGGGCATTATCACCTTTGCAGGTAGGGTCACTTGAAAATACACTTACAGTCCCTTTAAATCTACTTGTTAAGATTGAGGAGATAAAAACTTTCCTTGGCAGGCATCCCTCCTGGTTTGAGAGGAGGGTGGTCCAGCACAGATCATACCATTGGAAAAATATGTCCTAAAAACATAACAACTTGTCCTGGAAAATAATATTCTTGGTATACAAAAAATAAACAGTGAAACCCAGAAAACTAGAGAATAAAAAGACGACATTAAAAAAAATGAAGTATATTTAATGTTGCTCTAAAGCAAATAGCCTATATAGTTAGATATCAAATTCCTTATTCAGTGAAATGTGTCTGTTTGCACGGCAAAATTGCTGTGCCCTATGCTCATCGGACTATTTAAAGTCGTGACTTGAGTTTAAAAGTCAATTTCCTTTTCCGGAGTCTTCTGGTCATCACTGTATGAAAAATGTCAAAATAGATATACCAATAATCTTTGTATCCTGTTCTTGAGCAATCTCGTAAAGTCATTGTTTTCAGCTCAACAACCTAAATAAAATGCAGAAAAAAAATTTTAATACTGAAAATTATGAAAAAACAAATATTTTTGGTGATTTCCTACAGATTTCTGGGTCGTTAGTGTGCAAGCAAACCTTTAGATAGTCCGAGTTGGACCCATCCTCTTCAGTAAGACCCCATCCTAGAAAAGAAAAATAAGTATTAAAAAAAAATTTGGGGTTGGTTCAAGTTTTGGCTTAGGAAAAGTACTTAATTCAATGAAAATGATTATATTTTAAGAAGATACAAATTAATGCTTGTAAAATAATTTCCGTCAATTCCGTTAGCTAATAAAATTTCGGTTATTTAACATTTTTTCTATTGTTCACAATCACAGAACTTTGTTAGGACCTATATAACAATTAATGAAAAGGGGTTTGCTTTAAATTAAAATTTGGAGTTCCATATGCAAAATAATTTTATTCTGTGTTAGGATTTCGATTAATTTTACAATAAAATGTCTATACATTACAATGATATTTTGTTATTCTTCGGATATCCTCTACTATAACAGATCAAATTTTGCAAATATTGCGAATGAAACCCCTCTAATTCAACTAAATGCGCGATAAATGTCTTTTAAAAAAGAATCGATTTGTTCTTTTATAAATTTTGATGATTTAATTTTTAGAATTTTATGTTTTTTTCTTTTTAAATACCTGCCACTGAAACATCAAGATTATCTTGTCTGCTCAAAATATTTCTGTTCAGGCAAAGAGTTCCCACCCGACCACCATAGTTGCCAAATATTACAGGGCTTTCTAATCTATGGATAATATTCAGTATTATTATTGATGAAAAATTACTGGGAACTTTTTGATAAAAATGCTCAAATTCATTCTTCACCAGTGCAGTCCTAAGTTTTCTTTGTTTCAATTTAAAATTGAAAAATTGATCTTCCTTATAATCTTTATTTTTTCAAGTGCCTCTAGAATTCGAATAATAAGAAAAAAATAGAATTTCAATCAAAATTTTTTTAAGCCTATGTTCCCCACTGGTTCCCTAAATAAATGTCAACCAATTTAGTTCAGCCGTTTGATAGCTATAGCTAACATATAACACTTTCGCCTATTGCTTGTTTGCCTAGTAAACATTCGCCTTTATAAAATTTTGCCTGTATAACAATTTGCCTGTATAACAGTTTGCCTGTATAACAGTTTGCTTGTATAACAGTTTGCCTGTATAACAGTTTGCCTATATAACAGTTTGCCTATATAACAGTTTGCCTAAATACCATTTGAGTGTATAACAGTTTGCCTATATACCATTTGAGTGTATAACAGTTTGTCTGTATAACAGTTTGCCTGAATAACAGTTTGCCTAAATACCATTTGAGTGTATTTTCGCCTTTATAATATTCTGATAATGTTTTTCTTGTATAATTCTGAGACTGGATCTGCTCAACTATTTGCAAATTTTTAGCATGTACTCCGGCCTCGGAGTAGTCTAAAATCCGTCAACAAAAAACTTGATCCGTTCCACGGCTTGTAAAAGATTTATGTTCATTGGAGTCTTCTAGAGCATCTCCAATAGATGGTTGTCTCTATGCCTCCATTTCCAACATATGAATAATTGTTTTTATCAAGAATGGAAGGCTTTCCTCTGTTAGAGACTCTAACTTTGATAAGTGCTGCCATATTTTCAAGAAAAAAAATACGACTAATTTGCAGAATTTTCAAATCAGTTTATCGGGTTTTCCTGTTTTTCAAGTTTGTGGGTGTTTCAAGAAAATCATGGTTTAGGCGAAAAATAAACTTAAATATTTAATAGGCAAACTGTTATACAGGGAAACTTATTTTTGTTCATGTTGGGATTATTTTCAGGACTCCTGGCGGAGTAAATAAGAATATTTCAGATTGTTGTCATGATATTCATAAGGGTGCATATCACATTAATATGCAGAAAATTTTATATTCAATATTTACGAATATCTTGTGGATCAAGATTAAACAGGCAAACTGTTAATTAGGCAAAATGTTATACAGGCGAATGTGTACATCGTTTAATATTTGGTTTGAATAAACTTAGTTTTTGCCCTTCTGATCGGAGAAAATATATCTCCCCTTTTCATATTTTTCATATACTACATTACATTTATATTTAATAAAGAACTTAACTATACATTATGTTTCATGCTTTGCCAAAAATCTTCGGTATAAAAATATATATATTTATGAGCAAAGAGCTTTATTATATGGATATCGATTTACTTTATATGCACACAGCTTTATAATTAGGAACTAATTATGTAATACTCATAATTACTCTAATTTTACAACTTGATGTATTAGATATTGTCAAATATCAATTGCAGCTGCTACAAAAGATTCATAACTGCTCTCCAGTCACTGTGGATATCGAGATTAAGCGATTAGGATTATAAGTAACCACTATTCAAAAGTTCCCAACTCAGAACACATTTTAGCAATTACAGATTACAGAACACTTCAGCAAAGATTCGAATTAAAAGACGATAGTCATGCTGCTGTAAATATATCTAATAATTATGATTGTACAGGGTTATCCACACAGGATGAGACTTCAGATACGATTGTACGAAATTTGTTTAGTTCCTTCCTTGCACCATTAAAAAACTAAATCTGAGGCAGAAATAAAAATCAAGCTTTAAATTGTCATATTTTAAGCGTTTTGAGTGACTTTTGGATCGACGTTACAGTCTCACCATGCAGATGTAAAAAAATGAGAGGTTTGTCTCTGAAAAAACTGACCTGATAACAGCAATATCATTTTTAAATTGATTATTTCCGGTTGGGTTGTATCCTTCGTGGCATATCCGGTATCCAACATGGGTATAACTCATCTAATAATACAGTTATGGGTAATAATAATAAAAATAAAAATAGGATATTTCTGGGTCTTTTGTTTGTTTGTTTGTCTGTCTGTCTGTTTGTCTGTTTGTTTGTTTGTTTGTCTGTCTGTTAGTATCTAATTGACGTAAAAACGGATTGTGGATCATGGATGTTGTCATAAAAAGATTTGACTTTTCAAAATCCACGAAAAATTGAATTAAATCCGCGAAATTTTTTGTTGTTATTGTTTTATAATTTAAAGAGAAAAATTTAAAATCGAGTTCAAAAATTAATTATGACGAACAATTAAAGTCACTTACAGTCCTTGCATCTTTTATATCCTTCTTATTATGATCTCCGAGCTGAACAAATACACTACCCTTTTCATCCTGTAATATAAAGGGAGTGATCGATTCCAGTTGAAAATTAAAGGGAGTGATCTCTGATCATTATAAGGAAGATTAATGAAATTTTAAATAAATTTTAAATCTAGTGTCTAATTCTAATTTTGTATCATGCCTTTCAAGGAATTTTGTTTATGTATATTAAATACTCTCTTAAAAGCGTAGTGAATAAGAAAATCTATTGATTTATCCCAGCAACCAATTCTATTTAATCGAAAACAATTAGTTCGAATTGAATGACGATGTGGACAAAATTGGGAAGTTCTTTGGCTAATTCCAATCTGCGAATTTATTTTAGAAATATACTTTGTTGTAAAAATTTACTACAGTTTCTGAGAGGAAAGTAAACAAACCAAATGTTATTTAGACTAAGAATTGGGTTTGTTTACATTTCTTTCAGATTGCAGCATAGTTTATAGCAAACACAGCTATGGGGATTTCTGGTACATTCCTTGATAGGAATTATATAATATTATCATTATATAAATAAAATCTTCATTGTTAAACTGTTTAAAATAAAACGAAAACCTGAAATTCACTTGGATAGAATGTATTTGGACAAACGCAGTGAGCAGCAGTTAATAAATGCTGACTTGTAACAAGCGCAGCTCCGCAGTAACAATGCCACGCACCATTCCTAACAAAACGTCGCGAATTTATATATAAGGAATCAGTTGCACATAATGCACAATGCACATTCGCATAAATATACAGAATCAAGAAGCTAAAATTTTGCCGAAAAAATCCTTTTTATCAAATAGATTTAGTTGTGTCCCTGTGAAACTACCAGAAAAAGATTTAAAGTTTCAAATTGCTTTAAAAATGTAAAAGTGAAATGAACTTTGTATTACGTTAGATATTTATACTAGCTTGCTCATGATTTTTTCGTAAATATTAGGAAAAAACAGTTGAAATTTGTTGTAAGAATGAACATGTGAAATATGACTCAAATAAAAAATATTTAAAAATAATATTTAAAAAAAAATAACCTTACCCCATCGGAAAGCATATATGTCCAAGCCAGTTGTAAGCATGTCTCTAAATGTTATTAAAGTTGAATTAGAAAAGAAATCATATACACTTTATTAATATCGTCTTATTCATCACAAACATTTTTTTAAACAAAAGGGTTAAAAAAATGTGAACTTTTTTGTGGACACAACTTCATTCTTTGCGTTGCTAGCCTGTTCTTTTAAAAATCTAATAGTTTCCACATGTGTTATTCTTAGGTCTGCATAAGTTGATGCTTAATTCCAAGATTCAAAATACAAAAATTCTGTCTTCAGTTCACAATATTCTTCATATCCAAAACATTGCTATATATATATCAATGCTCGCTTCTAACTGCAGTGGAAGAAATGATAACATACGTTAAATAGAAAACAATGTGGACTCCATCTGCACAATCTTTTATTTAATAAATATTCATGGATTATTCGTATTTATTAAATTTAATGCAAAATTATTTATGAAACTATTGTGTACCTTAATCATTCTTATTCACTTAATCGTGAATTTCATAATAAACGTGCTATAAAGTAATCATCGCTATATTAAGTTAAATTAGCTGTACTTTATAGCACGTGTGCTATAAAGTTTAGATTGGTTCCCGGATTAAAAAAATTACCTATAATATTGTTACTTTGGCACTACGTGCTTTAAAGTTTTTGGACTTGAATTTTCTCTATATCTCGAAGGTTCTCGCCTTTTTAGATTATATTTTGTCCCTCGCAAAAGCTTGGGACAAAATTAAATCTTAAAGGCATGAACCCTCTCGATAAAGAGAAAATTTCTGTCCAAAAACTTTGAGCACTGCAAACCAAAATAACAGTGTTATAAATAGTTTTAATTATGGTTTCATACCTGAGCCTCAACTCCCCCTACAATTCGAGAATCAGTCTGACCTAAAATATCATAAATTTAATAAAAAAAATTAGCATTAACAGATTTTAAGCATGCTAAAACACATAGGATTACTGGCAAAGAATGACACTTCAGAATTCTGTTCATAATTCATTCAGTTTTAATTTTTAAAAATTTTCCTATAGATTTCTTGTATTTTTCTGTCTCAGAATTGCTGCATTTTTATTCTAATTCATTGATGTTGAAAATGATAGAAAATGTTAAAAATGTCATTGAAGTCAAATATTCTTACCCCCGCCTGTATCAAAGATTATGTAACAATGTTCAGAAATTAAACAATTAAAAACTCATAGATATGACGCTAAAATACGCACATAATCTTTAAAAAATCTAATATTTTCTGCGAGCAAAATAATTATATTGGCCTTAAAAAATTTTCAAAAATATTCATCTGAAAAAAATTTTTCTTTTTAGTCCTACAAGCTGTACTTATCATTGCCATTAACGATCCAATGTGCATGGGACTCATGGTGGAGGGGGAGTGGGGGGGGGATGCAGAAGTCCTCAATTGGTAATCACAGCCACCCAAACATGTTTTTCAGCATGTGTGCTCCTTAATCTCCACCGCCTCATTGGTAATCAGAAATAAAAATATTAACATTAAATCGTTTATTTCTTAGTTTGAAATTTACGACTCATATGGCAAGCATTCTGGGGAGAAATGCCCCCGGGACTCCCTCTGCTCCCAGAGAATTACCATTTTCCCCATTAACAGCATAACACATAAACATCTTTCATTGAGATAAAACTTTAACCCATAATTAGTAGTAACCTAAGTACTTAAATTTTGACCAGTGGACAGGACGAGTCAGATTTTTGAAATTTTTTATCTTCTTTTTAAGCATTTTATAAGTTTTGTTGTAGATGTTGAACGTGAGATAGATGTTACTTTGTTCGGGGCGGGGTAATTTTAGTAAACAGGTAGCCCAACCTCATAACTCCAACCATTAAATGCAGTCATTAAATTGGCGAAGATTTGGCTCAAATAAACTATGCCTTGTTTCTCAGTTTTTGTTGAACAAGCCAATCTGAAAACAAATTGAAAATTTAGTTTAAGTCAATACTCATGCCTGTGTTATAAATGCATTAAATTAAAATTCAGAAAACAAGATTTTACGGTGATTACAAATTGAGGAGCGCGCCGCGCATGACGCAGAACAGGTTTGGTTGGCTGTGATTACCAATTGATGACTTCTGCACTCCCCCCCTCAGGGGACACCCTGTACCTGCAGCAGTTTTGGAGGCACCGCATGTACAGGATTCATCTATTGTTGATCCCATCACCAGCACTAGTAAACTCAACACAAATCCACAAAATCCAAGCATTTCTTAGAATTTTTTACTTGTGAGTTTTTCGATAAATTACTCAATATACGTTTCGTACTTTCCTAACTTTCTGCTACTGATTTGTGCAGTACAGCTGTACAAATGTACAACATACAACAATTTAACGCTAATATTTTTTTCTTTCAAATTTTTAAAAATTTTTGCCCTTTTTTGTAAATCAGAAAAACTTTATACTTTTAAATAAAATTTCTTTACTAACACCTAATTTACCCTGATTGTACTGCACAAGTTCAAAGTGTACATGTTTCAATTGTACATGGCGTACACAGTTATTGCACTTTGAACAGTTCAACAACTATTTTTTATGCAAATATTAAATATTAAGTTATTTGTTATCTAAAATGCTTAGGTTTAGTGAACCCCTTCGAATCAGTGTTCAGGTATTTGGCTCCTAAAACACTATACTTTCTTCATTGTTTTGGGAATGCTGAAATGCAATTTTAATAGAAATCAAAATTCAGATAATTATCTCAAACCTATTAAGTGGCGTTAGAAAAATACCTCATTTTTTGCTGGAAAGTAAATTGAAAGCTAGAAAGATATTTTTTTATGTTTTTTTTTTAACGAGAGTTATTTACAATATTTATATGAACTAGATCCCTTATAATCATAATCACTGATAGATGCATATTCAGGGGGGGGCTATATGGGCTCACCCCCCCCCCATTGCATGATCTCCACCTGGATCAACGAAATCTATAATTTCCAGGGTTTTTGGGCCCCAACAGGTGCTGATATTAAATATTGATATTGAATTATTTCAAAGATCAAATACGATTTTAAATTGTTCTGCTTCCTTGTGAATCTCACTGTATGATAAGACAAGTGCTTAATTAAAAAATTAAAAAATGTTAAAGACATGTTTTATTACTAATTATAATTCAACTTGGCATAGGTGTTTTTTGTCCTGTGCGTGTTCTACTCGACAGAGGGAAGTATATTTACGGAAAAATTCAGGTATTTAAGGGATTGTTAACAATATTGAAGTTAATCTTTGCACAATAGCTTAGTATTGCAATATCGCAATGAGGTAAAAGCGCAACATTCATAGTTGCAACGGCAAATTTTTGTGCAATAGATATTGCGAATCAATGCGCAAAAATGTCTGTATTGCGTACAACTCTAATGCCCAAAAGAAAGCAACCATTTAGCCGCATTGTTGCGCATCGTTGCGCGCATTGCTATTGCGGTAACATCAATCATACTTAAACTATACATGAATTCATAAAAAAGTATTGTTTTTAGTATCCTGTAGACTGACTTTTAACAAAATATTCAGTGATTTTTCACCTAAATATAAAATGCGATTTCAACGATGTAATTTTGTAATCTTCTTTTCCGTTTAACGAACATACAATTCTTAATGGACTATTCACACAATTTCATGTTTCTGCCCATTACACATTAAAAGAGTTGCAATGTCATACTGACAACTTTAAAACATAATCCTTGTTTTTCCCCCTAGAAATTGATAACTTCCAATTGTAGTTTTTTCTTGAATGTAATCTGCAGACAAAATAACCAGAAATCAACACGTTTATGATAAGAAATTGCATGCACATTTTTAAATATGGACATGGGGGTAGGTTAAAATTACGTTGACAATCCCTTTAACAATTATTATTTAAGAAACTCAGATCCTGCTCCTTACACAGAGTACTTTATTGAACCAATCGAAAGCGAAAGGTAAGAAACATATTTCATTAATTTAAAAGAAAAAAAATGTGAAAGTACAAAATGAAATATCTTTTTATCCGTTTAAACAAAATGCAAAAAGGTTATAAAAAGTTCACAATATTAATAAATGAACCTTTTTGTTTAGAAATGAGTAAAGTTTATCTATTAGACCCCTGAATCCGTTTGGAGAGAGTATACCTGGATTCTCACTGAACCCCCACTACAGCTATTCAAAGTCAAGCTTCTCAAACTTTCAAAATCAAAAGGTGAATTTCAATTTAGATTTTTAAAAAAAACCAATTGCTTTTTCATAATATTCTCAGGAAAGTGTGTTACTTTTAACTCTATAAATGACTTGACATTTCTGCCTCGGAAACAGTTTGTAGGAAAATGTCAAAATTAAATACTTTCCAAGCTAATAAAATTATTATATCTTCCACTTCCACATTATTGATTAAATAAAGGTTTAAAGGCTGCCGTTTTGAATCTGGTATTCCTTTTCATTGGAAGGTCAACAGTAATAACAATGACAGCTCTTAATAAATTCAGGTTGCTAATACTAATCTAAACTTGAAGCAGCTTAAATTCAGGTTGCTGATACTAATCTAAACTTAAAGAAGCTTAAATTCAGGTTGCTAATACTAATCTAAACTTAAAGAAGCTTAAATTCAGGTTGCTAATACTAATCTAAACTTGAAGCAGCTTAAATTAAGGTTGCTAATCCTAATTTTAACTTGAAGCAGCTTAAATTCAGGTTGCTAATCCTAATCTGAACTTGAAGCAGCTTAAATTCAGGTTGCTAATCCTAATCTAAACTTGAAGCAGCTTAAATTCAGGTTGCTAATGAACTTGAAGCAGCTTAAATTCAGGTTGCTAATCCTAATCTAAACTTGAAGCAGCTTAAATTCAGGTTGCTAATGATAATCTAAACTTGAAGCAGCTTAAATTCAGTTTGCTAATACTAATCTAAACTTGAAAAAGCTTAAATTCAGGTTGCTAATCCTAATCTAAACTTGAAGCAGCTTAAATTCAGTTTGCTAATACTAATCTAAACTTGAAAAAGCTTAAATTCAGGTTGCTAATACTAATCTGAACTTAAAGAAGCTTAAATTCAGTTTGTAAATACTAATCTAAACTTGAAAAAGCTTAAATTCAGTTTGCTAATAATAATCTAAACTTAAAGCAGCTTAAATTCAGGTTGCTAATACTAATCTAAACTTAAAGCAGCTTAAATTCAGGTTGCTAATACTAATCTAAACTTAAAGAAGCTTAAATTCAGGTTGCTAATCCTAATCTAAACTTAAAGCAGCTTAAATTCAGGTTGCTAATACTAATCTAAACTTAAAGAATCTTAAATTCAGGTTGCTAATACTAATACTTCTACTTCTAAATATTAAAATTTCTTGAATAAAAAAAAAGCTGGCAAACAAAGTGTTAAACAACTAAACATTTAGTCTAAGGTTTAAAGGGTGTCGTTGTGACTTGGGCATGCCAAAATTTACGCTTGCACCTACAGTCCCTTTAACTTCAGGTTGCTAATGCTAATTTAAACTACCAATCCAATCGTCTGCGACCTTCCTACCCTTCAGTCTCAGCGTATAAAGAATACCCAATAGATCAAAATAAAGAATTTGGAATTGGAAAGAAGAATTTAGATCAAACTATAGACCAAGCTGAAAACAGGTGAAAATCGATCAATCAATCATTAAAAACAATTGTATATCATTTGAAAATCTTTGACAAAGTCCAAGCGCCATGATATATTTAGTCTTAAAACTTGTTTACAGAAAATATTTGTTTGTATTTGTTCAGCAAAATACATTAAATTTTAGGCCGCTGTTGTTACCCACTCAAAGCAAATTCAGCTTTCATCAGACAATGCCCAAGTCTCGAAAAAATGAGATTGTTCCTCTGATGAACAGGGCTTCCCACACCATGTATTCGACTGGTAAGAAATAGGAACGGACATCTTCGTTTTTTAGAACTTTTGGTTAACGCCGTTTTTATTGTTTTAAAACAAATAACGAAATTTTTACAATAAATTGATTTTTGTTTGCATTAAAACTGAAATGAAATAAAAAGACACAATGGCAATCTCTAGTGAAAATCTAATCAGTCAAAATTATTTAACAGTGAGTATTTTTTTTTCGAACTTTTGAAATAGAAAATATGTTATTAATTGCAAACGAACTATACCAAAAATAGTGATGTGTGGCGGAAGACGACTCAAGATGAAGAGGCTGAAGCCGGATATTCGGACGCGGCAAGAAGATATAGATTCCTGCCACGTCACCTTGATATATGTTTTCGATTAAGATAATTTGAGTTTAAATATTTAGTCAATAAAGTATTTCTTTAAACCTCGACGTGTATTATTGAGCGTAGCCAAAGATGTGTCATAAATAATTTTTTTCTTCTTTATAATTTTGAACAAAATATTTGTGAATTATAAATGCTTATTAACAGCGTGTTCTTGTTTAGACACTGTCCGGCTCCATTCTCTTCTAAAATCTGCTGCACCCGCTCGCAGGTATGTATGCTAATCGTTCAAAAATAGATTACAAGATGCCAAAGATGTATTCTGTTAAAGTTTTCTTTCATTAAAAAATGCTAAATCTTAACGTTCTTAGTTCGTTTTTGTATCGTTTTTGAGTCGTTTTTGTATGGTTTTGAGTCGTTTTTGTATAGTGTTTGGGTCGTTTTTGTATAGTTTTTGGGTCGTTTTCGTATCGTTTTTGGTAGTTTATGATTCTTATTTTTAATAAATCTTCTGTCAGGGTCCAAAGTGAAATAAGCAATTTTTTAAATTAAACAACTAAGAAAACATTTGTTCTTCTGACGCTACAAATATTAGACCTGAAAGAAAACATATTAGACCTGAAAGAAAACAAATATTAGACCTGAAAGAAAACGACCCAAAAATGAACCAACTAAATGCACTACACGTAGGTCACACGCGCATATCAAATTTTTAAAATTCCTATTTTTTATCTATAAAATAAAGCTCTTCGCTCATATATTTATATGTCAGCTATAGCTGGCCAAACGGTTGGACCTAATTGGCTGAAATTTTGTATAGGAACTGATAAGTGCCCGGGGATTTAACATAGGCTAAAAAAAATTAGATTTTTTTTCAAAAATAAATTTGTTTCTCCTTTTATTTTTAATTTCTAGTTATTCTGCTTCCCTTCAACCCACCTGCCTAGAGAACTATAATCGTAAGTATTTACATTATTATTAGATGTAGTAGAAGTATCAATACTGCAATGAAGATGACATTTGATCTAAGTTTTGATTGATAACCAGCTTTTCGAATTACAAGGTCAGGGGTTATACTCCTAGTAAAAGTTAAAAGATTTATTATATTGCTGCAACTCGTCTTGTCGTCTTCAATTAAAGTTTTTTTTTCCATTTCAGCAACTTATCTTCTGAGCGTAGAGGATACAAGGATCAATTGTCAGCTGGCTTGTTACCAGAGTATATCTATACAAAACAAGCTTCAAAGGTCGGGTTCAGAACAATAAACACTAACAAGGACAACCCACACTTTGGAAATCCCAGTACCAGGGATGCTTAATGATAATAGTTTTAAAATACTGCTATAAGAACGTTTTTCTCTTTCGTAGCAATATAATTCCAAATTACTGCAGTAGCTGCTCAGATGTTATTTACGGATATATGTTCAATGTTCATACCATGTTCATGCCTATTTTAAACTAAACTTAAAGGGACTGTAAATGTTCAATGTTCATACCATGTTCATGCCTATTTTAAACTAAACTTAAAGGGACCGTATATGTTCAATGTTCATACCATGTTCATGCCTATTTTAAACTAAACTTAAAGGGACTGTATATGTTCAATGTTCATACCATGTTCATGCCTATTTTAAACTAAACTTAAAGGGACTGTATGTACTATTTTGACATCATTTAAAGTGACCCTCCATTTATAAAGTGGCATGTCCGATTCAGAAGGGTACCAATAAAAGTTTTGGCTAAATGAATTGGATATCCATGTTTTCCTTGTTCTAAAACTGATTATTTTTATTGTGCTTTCTCAACAAAAGTGACAATTGCGTCATTCTGCTTCAGACAGGAGCAACAATTATAAGAATTAAACACTTTTAATGATGTAAGAGAAACGACGATCAGATAAAGGTTTTTAGTGTATCTTTGTGAATCGAACATGTACCTCTTTGAATGGGGGTAACAGACACATTAAAACAGAGTAAATACTTCCATTATATGGGAGATGGTTGAATGTCGTCTTTCATTTGTCACGAAAGCCAAACTGTGAACTAATAAATACATTTTGTTTATCTAGTTGTTGGGAGTCCTGCAATTCGGGAGAATACAGTCAGTGTCAAAAAATATCCGTGTCTGCCGGATTAGAATTGGTACGTATGAAAATAATGGTTTTAACCCTATCACGATTGTAAAGGGGGGAATGGTCCACCCCCCCATGTGGTTTTTTTTCTAAATAACTTAAAAACGGCTTACATTAGAACTTCTTCAAACTTCAATTTTCAACTTAATTGTTGTGATTTTTTTTTTAAATTCTTATGGGTAGGGTGGAGGACGGTCAAACTCAAATGGCTGGTCAGTGTTTCAGAAAAAATCAGAAATGGTTTATAACTTTCTTAATAATTAAGCTACATGGCTAAAACTTGTATATTTAAAAAGCTCTTAAAAAATGGAGAAAAAACATGTGTCACATGTTTTTTAAAGTAAAGATAACTATAACATTTTCCGACATACTATTTTACTTTCTTAAAAATCCACCCTAACCATTAAAGTTAGATGTTTAATTTTTTCTTTAAAAGTTGGATTATGCGACATTTATCACACTCCCATATCTCAACTCTAAGGGCAAACTCATAGGGTGGCGAGGAGGGGGTGGGGTGGAAACACCCCCCCCCCACCATTCTTATTAGACAAAAATAGCTCAATCGAGATAGGGTTAATTGTCGTCTTCTATTGAATTTGAATAAATAATAAAGATGCTATTCTGATATATAATATTATATTTATACAGGAGAACCAGCAGCACTGCAACTATCTTTGCTTCAAGAATTTTATCTATTCTATTGTTGTGTAATAAGTTAATAACTTACAAAGAAAATAAACGTTTTAAAGAAAATCAAAATTTTGTTTTCATTTTATACATCAATAATATTTTACAGGGACAGATGTTGCTCACCTTAACTTCTAAGGACTATTCGTTATGAACAATGTGGCTTTCATTCCACATAATAATTAACTTTGAAGCAAAAATTATCTCTAATTCTCAAGGATATTTCTAAATTATATTCTCCCTTTTTTCCTTCCGATTTCAATTTATTAAAAACACCAAAATTGTGTTTACTCAATATTTTTGTTTGTTTTCATTACATCGCAATATTCAAAGCTTATAAATCATTTAACCTTTTTATACTCACTGTTTTATGTATTAATGCTCATAGACGATCATCTCTTATATATTGGATGAGACTTGTCTTCTATAACTCTTCAACACAACAATTCTCATCCTTTGTGGGCAGCCCTGTAGTTTCACACAATTAAACAAATTAATCATTAGTAATATATATTTTTAAAGCTTCCCACTTCATTTAATGAGAATTGAACCAGTGTAATTACAAAATGTGTTTAAAACCTACTTGAGGATTATTTTACGAGGGTAAAAACAATGTATCCGTTACTAATGAGCTTCGCAATCTAATTCTTCTCAAAGACAGACAACTAGACAGATAGATATAGGACGCAGATCTGTCTAGATATCTGATGAAAGATAGAAAAGTGTATCCGCTATTGCAAAATCTTGAAAATAACGAATTTAATACCTTATGCAAATCTTATCATTTCCTGTTGTAAACTCTACGGGGTGTAAACCGAGTAAAATCCTACAGGGGGGTCGGTAAAATTTAAAAAAAATTAGATTAGAAAAATTGTTTAAAAAATTCAAAACTAAGCCTAATTATTTTGTATAACCTAATATATTTTTCATAGAAAAGTTTAAATATTTTGATGCATTTTTTCCTAGTCTCCCTGTAAATAAACCCTATCTGATCTTAAAATGTTATTATTTAAAACTAGAGATGTCATCAAGCACACAGTATTCTAATTTAGGTTAAGAAGCTATGTCTGCTGGCGGAGGGGGGGGGGGGGGGGATAGAGAAAATATCTATTAAACGGTTTTAATGAGAAATACAAGAGAATTTTCATTTAAGGGATGTCGTTGTAATTTTAAGAGAGGCTTAATTCTAACAATTTCCTTCTTTGGCTCTGGAAATCCGAAATTCACTTTACAAAGAAACCACACAGTTAATGATAATTAATTTCAAATAAAAAATTATGGATAGTTTTGGAATGAGAATCTGACATGCTACTCGTTATACGTCAATAGTCATTTAAAGCTTTGTCTCATGGTTAGTATGGAAAGTATGGAAAGTATTCAAAGCGTGGAAAGTATGGAAAGTATATAAAGTATATAATGAAAATAAAGTATACAAAGTTTATAAAAGTATGGAAAGTATGGATCGAAAGGGGGGGGCGTGCACAGCACTTTTGTGAAAACACTATGGAATAAATGTGCGCCGCAGGTGAACTTTTTTTACACAATTAAAATAGAAAAATGTACACTTGCATTTGTTGACATATATATTATACAAACTTACAATTGTATTCAATAAATATCAGTTAAAAAAACATCAGTGATGAAGATTAATTATTAAAGGAAAAATTCAAAAATCAACATTAATTTTCTAATCCCCGAATTGTTTGTTACATCCTGATTGTGTAATGATAATTCAAACTTACAATACCTGACCTACTAGAAGTTTTGGTTTGAAATATCGAAAGTTTAGAAAATAGAATTGTGAAAATTTAGGGATTAGAAAATAAGAGTTTGTGGCAAACACTCAATTACTTTCTAGCAATTTTGTGTGTACGGTACAAACTTTTGTATTAATCAAACATTATGTAATAAATATTGATAGCAAAGAAGTCAAACCTTGTAGAAATCCAACGTAAAGAAACAGCTACGTATAGCAACAAGGCGTATTTTCTGGGAGAACATTTTTTATATTTTTGAGAAATTAAACGTTTTTGTAAAACAGTGTAGCTTATCATTATAATTATCATAATTTCTATTTTTTTAAACATACCCTAGACATTAAAGGAGCAAAATAGTTTAATATGTACATTTGTACTGCTCTCTATTGTGTTTAAGGTCCCCCAGATTTTATTATGTACTGAGTACTGACAACATAAATGAATGATTATATGGATATACATTACATAAAATTGCGTGGTACTATTAAAAAAAATATTTTATAAAAATGCTATCTACAGTTTTATTTCCAGAAAAAAAAATTTCTTAAAAGTATAAAAAAAAAGTTCTCCAGTAATGCTAGTATGATTTCATAAAATTCCGTTTTACCATTTAAAAGGATTTTATGAAAATTATATCTACTTTACACTGATTATTTAATTTCTCAAAACTACAACAAATGTTCTCCCGGAAAATACGCCTTGTTGCTATACGTAGCTGTTTCTATACCTTGGATTTCTACAAGGTTTGACTTCGATAGCAAACTTTATATATGTAAACCTGAGATACCAATACACTGCGTGTTAGCATTATCTTCAATTTGATTATGTTTGTAGGTTTCTGAGAACTACGTGCATTGGTTTGACTACGATTTAATTTAATAACGTAACATGTACCATAGACCCAAAATATAAATTAGTTGAACAAGGTCCTTTGTCTCAATTAGAGGGCATGAGTGTCAGCTCGAATTGTATCTCGAAAGATAGATACAGATTGAAGGAATACTTAGAGCGTAGCAGTAATCTTCAGGAACCTTGAGTACGATACACAATAAGGAATACATATAGCGTTGTATCCTGATTGATACAAACTAAAGTATTATGGAGCTGCAATAGGAATTGTATCTTGAAAGATAGATACCTAAGAAATACATATAGGGTCGTAACCGGGTTGCTACTGAAATATTATTGAGGAACCCGGAGTTCTAGATCGATTTGTATCTATATGATACATACAGACAAATATAGATATTGTATCACGGTTGATTGATACTTGAGAATACAGTATACCTTGATTGGCATAGACTAAACAGAACTTGTTGGAGAAAGGCACTTGCTATGAGTCTAATTTCAAGATTTTTACCTTCTGAGGTAGGAGTTAATAAAGTCCAGGAATCAGTTGAACTGTGTATGTTAAGTTGAACCACTCCTCTAGTTAACCTCATTGGCAAAAGAGTTGTTCAACTATGCAGATCTAGTTGAACTACTTCTCGATCGTTCATTAAATCCCAACTTAAATCCCAACTCTGTTCTTCTCGGGCTACTAAATCATAAAAATTAAGCAAATGCCACAAACTCTAATTTTCTAATACAAATATCTTTGCAACCCAATGTCTTAGGCCTTAGATATTTCAAACTATGAATTCTCTTAGATCAAATAATTTTAATTATCAAAGATTTACACCATCAGGTCGCAATGATGTAGGAATTAGAAAATTTGATTTTGTGGCAAGAAGTGAGTTGCTGTATAAGAAAAAGAGACAAATATCTTTCCCGACAAAAGTTTATTTCTCCTTGTCTTATAATGGGATTTTTAACGTTAAGAATTTTATTCTTTTTCCAAGTTTTTAAATCTCAAGGGATGTTTAATTTTGTACAATTTACAATTTCTTGACAACAAATAGAATTTGCAATTCATGAAATACAATGATATCATTTGTTCTTACATTTATCTAAAATTTATTAAAAAAAAAATATTTTAAGCAGAGACCATTTGTTTCAGAAAGAGGCAGGCAAAAAGCAAAATAAGCATTAAGGTGGCAATATACACTGTGTCCCACTAAACATGATTTTTATGAAGTAGAGGTTTATATATCTGCCTTTGCATGGACTCAATATATTAAAGTTTTAGAAGTAAATAAATGATATCGAATTATCGAAAATCTTTAGCAATTACAAACATTTTATTCAAAACATTCCTCTTAAACTTTGATAGTTAACAATTATGAAAATGTGAAAGATGACATAAAAAAATTATTCTCAAATTTTCATGTTTCTAGAGACGCCCTGTACGCGGGAGTGGTAAGGATGGGAAGAAAGACTTAAAGATCTGAAAGTAAAGAGGTTAAACACAGGTTAACCAGTTCTAAGTGTATTGGATTATTATAATTCATACACACTTAAACACGAATACAACAAGTATAATTACAAAAAAATGAATTTAATTTGTCGAAAAAAAGTTCTTAAGAATTCTAAATTATCAACTTAAAATAGAAAATTTTAAATATTAATTTATTTGTTTGCCTCTGTTAATATTATGAATGTAAAGAGTGGTAAGCACTAAGCTAGTAGTATTGGTAGGCATGCAAGCTCAAATCTATCCCAGGGTATACAATGTGTAGGACTTGTTTTCATGCAGACATAGTAGTAAGGTAGTCATACCTCCTCCCGGCCTCGGCCGTCAAAGGCGATAGTTTTATAAATCAAATTATCTTTTATAAATAATTTTTTTACAAACATGCCATGACCCAATTAGGGGGTTACCATCGGAAGCAAATCGTTGCAATTCCGCACAAAGAAATCTGTATATCTTTGCAAACCTGATGGTATAAACCTTTGATATTTCTAATGGATTGCTGCAGATATTTGATTTTTAATTGAATAATTACAATTCCTTCGATGTCGCCTCAGTTCTGGGTTAACCTGTAGTTGGAAATATTATAGATCTACGACATCGGGTTGCAAAGATATAGGGATTATTTAGGGAAATTCCATCGGGAAATTTGCGAAAATGCTATTATTTTAGAAGAATAATACTGCTTGAGAGCTACTGTATAAGGATGAAGAGATGCATGATTGACAATTGTACCCTTGAAACCAATGTTTTTCATTTAAAAATGGGATTTTTAAAATTTTGGGTTTTTTATAAAGTTACCTGCGGGTTTTCAGTTAGGACAACGACTATATCTTATTTAAAAATGTACAAGTACAGGGTGAGTCAAAAAAGTGTGATTAGCGGCGTCTGGTGAAAAATTGTACCTTTTTTTGGAATTTTCTTTTTTGGTACTCCAATAGCCCAAAAAAAATCCGCGAAACTTT